CATTATCATTTGCGACTTTATGCATGCATCATGAGAAGTATGTTTTTCAGTCTCAACAACTTGATTATCTGCACCTTGCTTGCTTCCAATATTCTCAGTTGATAACTCTACTTCATCATTTCCATCTCTGCTCAATCTATCAGCACTGGAACGTTCCTCTTCAACTTGTTCTTGAACATGTTGATCGCCTTCAAAAGCCACTTCCTCACGTGTAGCATTTACATCTGCGACTTTATCTGATGCATTATCAACAATATTAATATCCGATGGATGTTCGTAACAGTCGTTTCCCCTATCATATTTTCGATGGTTACTCAAATCAAAATTTCCATCGTCCATTCCATTTGATTTGTTGACAATCTCAAACAATTGTTCAAACTTTTCATCGAAATATTCCTAGAAAAAAAATTACTAACAATGATTAATCTGAATAACATCAGCAGAAATAAAAAGACTTCTCTATACCTTCACTTTTATAAAAACCACATCCACAATAGTAGATCGCTCCTCCTTTTTAAACTTATCGAAAACTTCTTTCACGATCGTGCTTCTTTCTTTTTTTGCATGCCTTTGAACCTCCATCATTAACCTCTAGAATAGACACACAACAAAAATTCAGATATAGAAGAAAATTTCAGCTAAAAAACATAGTGTACTTTTACAAAAACAGAACCAAAAAACTTCAGATCAAAACTTACAGAACATATTGTGTTGAGTAATTCATTGTCATCAAAGTCACTTGTAGAACGGTTAGAACGACTCTGGTTACGAGATGATTCGCCAATAAAAGGAGTTCGATTCGCTTCTCTTGATCGACTCCGACTACGTGGTGATTTACCAATAACTGGAATTCGATTCGATTCTTTTGATCGACTCAGAGTATGTGGTGATTCACCAGTTGAAGGAACCATGTTAAGTACCTTTGAACGAATCCGGCTGCATGGTAATTATCCAATTAAAGGCATTGAATTCAATTCCTTTTCTGTAGGAATTATATCCAATACCCTAAAGTTGCGATATCTCTGTTTAATACAAAAAAGTATATTATGAGAAGAAAAAAACTAATACGTCAACATATTAACACAAAGACAAAAAAAAGTAACTTACTTCATGACTACTGAACATATCAAAAAGTTCAGGAAATTTAGGCTTTCCCACACATACATAACGTAACATCCTAGGAACCTGAGGGGTATCAAGGTACTCATCCTCTCTTATATACTTCTCCCGAATATCTGGGAAGCGCTCATAAAAGCAAGCACATAACGGATATGAAAATCCATCAAGTTTATACTCAGTTGAATGTAATTTGTTCTACTTGTCCAATGCATGTTTCAGTGAGTAAATGAGCTTCTCATAAGCCACATTACCCCAAGGATATTCAGCAGAAACCTTATCATCTTCAACAATAGATGCATACTCCTCCATCACAGATGACTCGGTCTTTTTCCCAAACAAAATAGACTCTACAACAAGAATTTCCATAAGCTTCACAGCATCATCATCGCTCTCGCATATGCGTATGTGATTCACAGCATTCTTTAGAATTTCATTCTGAGTCATAAAATCTCGAATATCCTTCAAAGTCACACCCTTGGACTTACCAAAATAGCGCTTCAGAATATTACTCTCTCGAATAATTAGTTTTTCAATATTATGTACTGTGATCCGCAAACCACACATAATATGAAAGTCTTCAAGAGTGAAGGAAACATCATGGCCAAAAATCTTGAAACTAATCGAGTCTCGATCATTCATAAATATTCAAGAAAGACACAGACAATGAACCAACTTCATGCTGCATTTGAAATTCTCCATAGCCATAATGTATCGAAGTGTACCATTATTAAGCTTATCCCGTTGTTTAGGAGTCAAGAAAGTTGCAATTAAATTCTTCAAATCGTGGTTCCCCTTCCAGTAACCCTTACAGTTAAACCAATCTCGAAACTCAAAATATCTTTGCCCTGGTCTTGTAGGTGGAGGAGCAGGGACATAAGGACCTGAGGGTGTTATAGGTTGTCCAGGTGCTTTAGGTGCTTTAGGGGCATTAACTGCTTTGCGCACTTTAGCTGCATTAGGATCTTTAGGTACTTTAGGAGCTATCTGTTCAAAAAAAGTAAAACATACAAAAAATAACATCAGGACATTATCAAAAAGATCAGTTAAAACTTCAATCTCTAAGAAGGCTGAAGTTCGATAGTTACAAAACAAAAACTTCAGCTCTAGAGCTGAAGTTCACCAGTAACAAAAACAAAAACTTCAGCTTCTAAAGCTGAAGTTCAACAGTTACAAAACACAAAACATTCAACAACATGTTGTAGGTTTTACAAAAAACAAAACACAAATTCAAATCCAAAAATAATGCCAAAACATGAAAAAAAAACTTCAACTCCTATCTAAGGTATCACCACTTTAATAGTATCATCTATTTAACTCTCAAAATTTTTAAAAATTTGGACGTCTAATCACTGAAGAATTTATAGAATTTTCATCAACAACATAAAAACTCGTTCAAAAAACCTAAAAACACAATCGTAAATGTAAAACTAATGCACTTATCAAACTAAACCCTAAGAAATTATTTAATCATAAATACATGACTATCAAAACCAAAACCATAAATAAAACCTAGAAAGTTAATGCAATGTACCTGTGATTAAATCGGAATGTGGGAACAACGACGACTAACAGTTGAAAAATCAAAACAACGACGAAAACTGTTTGATTTCAGAAAAGAACAAATCAAAAAACGCGAATAACGGAAGAGAGAGACAGAGACAGTAGAGGACTAGCGTATACTTGAAGAGAAAGTAATTTTTTAATGAAAAAGAGCAAAATAGTCTTTTTAAAAGGCTTTTAACAGAAAAATGGATACGGGTGCAAACAAAAAGACAAAGTGGCTATAGGTTAGTAATCATCTATCCTACCCGTAATCTTAAAAAGGTAGGTGAAGAGAGATAACAGTTGTAAATCGACTCAGATGGAGCAAAACCCGAGTTTTGGAGAAGAAAACAACCAGGTAGGGTAAAAGGATAGATGGTTAGGCTTTATAAGATCGTGCCACGTGACTTTAAAAAATGGTCCGTTAGAAGGGGGCATAAATATTAAAATGAGTAACGGTAGGGGTGTATAGTGAAGGAAAGTATAACGGAGGGTATATGGTAGTGCAAGACCTTAGCTACTTTTAATTTGACAGAAAACCGACAATCTATATTTTTAACAATTTCCTGTTTTGTTTACCCTAGCTAAATTGTCTAGTATTACCTTAAATGATATAGTTGGTAGACATATTTTGTGTTCAAATTAAAAAGTTAGCTAAGTGACTCAGCACCAGTTAGTCAGCTATCTTTATTTTTATGTTAGGTGGCGACTCCAAAGTATTTTTTAAAACCTTTTTGAGTTATCAAATTATTGTGGTTCTCAAACTCTCTCAGTAAAAAAAAACAACCACAAAGCAGGACCTTGAGTTATCAAATTATCGTGGTTCTCAAACTCTCCAATATTTAATTTCATGATGGCAACTGCACATTTCGTTCGGGTTTTATTTAAGTATTAGTAGTTAGATTATAAATATGGGTCGAACCTAGATTTTTTGAGTCTTATTTCTAGTAACAAACACGTTTTTGTTTTTTCTGTTTTTTATGTTGTGAACTCAAATTTCAAAAAACTCTTTCTCATTATTTAGAACAATTCGCTCACTCGTTGAGCCTCTCATTTGAATTAGAACATTTATGTGTTGATTAGCTTTCCTAATTAATTAATTAATCAATTCAAATTTAACTTTCTTTCCATTCGGATTGAAAAGAATCTTATTTACTATCTTTCTATTTAAATTAAAAAAATATTATCTTTCAATTTAAATTAAATACTATAATAAATATAGTCCTAAATTGCCAAATAATTTTATATTAGTTTGCCACTTGGCTTAACCACAATGCAAACTTTCTGGATAAATAGCTGGAAAATGTTGCGTAGAATGAATTATCGTGTGTACATCTAGATCCTCGAATAAGATAATATGAACTCGAAGTTCATAAAAAGATAATTCGTTTGCAATATATTTCAAAGCATGTCATACGCATTTGCTGACCCAAAGAAAGTAACTATAATCTCATTGCAAATGCTCATATTAAGTCCTAGAAGGACAAAGTCTATGGTACGCTTAAAGCGTTTTTTTTTTGTAAAAACTTAAAAAAAATGTAAAAACAGAAAAAAAAATTATTTTTAATAAAATATTTTCGTTTTTTAAAAACTGAAAAAATATTTTCAACAAACTATTTTTGTTTTTGAAAAATATTTTTTTTCATTTTTTTCATTTTTTCCATGCAATTTTTACAATAAAAAGCATAAAAGAGGTCCCTTTTGTTTGGGCCTGGACCAACCCTCAGCCGGCCCATTACCCCATTCCGAAGTATTTGCACTGAATAGCCTTTTTTTGAGGTTACTCTTTAAATTTTGTCTCCATTAGCTCATTGTATTATCTGAAATTGATCAAATTTTCCATTCCTTGCATCGTTGACAAATTTACCTACATTAACTTTTGATTATGATTTAAAAAAAATTGAGATACGCACAAACCGGCACAAATAACAAAATAGGCAAAGGTGAGTTTTCTAACTTTATATTTTACTTGTTCTATATAGTTATATCTATTCCTTAGGCAAGATAAACTATGGTTGATGGTATATCGAAAACAGCCTCTTTACCTGCATAAGGTAAGGGTAAGGATGCGTACTTATTACCTTTTCTAATTTCCACTTGTGAAATTATACTGGATATGTTATTGTTGTTGTTCGTAAGGTAAACCATGATACTCAACGTCTAGAGAAAGAGCTTTTGCACTAGGAGAGATTCCAATCTTGCAATACTTGAATTCTTCATGAACATGTTATGCTTTATTCTTGTTATATGTGAAACACATGCTATGAAAAGTGTCATATCCTTATTATAAATACATAGACAATCATTTCTCAATTTCCATGCAAATCCATGTTCTTGAAAATGGGTTCAATGACTTTCCCTACTACCTTCTCTAATAAAAAATTCCCTACAATTTTCCAAGAAACAAATTCCCAATATTCTCTCCAACCAAAAATGAAATTTTACCCTCATTTCATACAACTTCATAACCAAATGTATGTTTCTAGTTTTATTAATTTAAACCAATTTTATTCTTTGAGTTATGTCTCCAAAAGCAATGGCCTATTATACCCTGTGAAATGTAATAGTATAGATAATAATTCAGAAACACCAGAAGAAGGCCAGAAAGCTGTGGAAACAGTACAAAAACTTTATAATGCACTTAGAAATAAAAATCTTAATGAATTATCTGATATAATTGGAGAAGAATGTCGATGCATTAGCAATGTTGCCTCTTCTTTACAAACTTTCTATGGCAAGGAGGTATGCTATACTTTGTATTTATTATTACTTCGTCCCGTCTTAAATATTAGTCGTGTTGACATATATATTTTGATTCAAAATATTTGGCGTTTTAGGAAAATAAAAAGTTATTATCAATTAATTCTTGTCAAAAGGTTTACTTATAATTACCAGAGTGACTTGATTATATAAATATATTTTTTATATTGTCACTACATATGCCTTAACGCTTTGTCTAATATTTTGTTTATTTTTCTACTTGCAGCAAGTAATAGATTTCTTCAATTCAATCATAAAGCTCCTGGGGAATAACTTTGAGTTTGTCATTCAACCCACTATACATGATGGGACAAGTGTTGGGGTTGCTTGGGAACTAGGTTAGCCCATTGTTGTATACTTTTATTTTTCCAATTTTTTTTAATCATCTGGTATTCGAAACTCATCGTTTATGTTTTTTTTGGCAGCATGCAGCGAAACTCATGTTCCCATTGGAAAAGGTTTTGGCTTCTATATGTGCCATTATTACAAGGGCAAGATGATGATAAGGTAAAGTAGGAACTATATTGCACGGACTCTTCAAAATGCTTTCGTATTCGTGTCAAATTTTTCAAAAATACATTATTTTTGAAGGATTCGACACGTACCTAGAGATATTTTCAGAAAGTCAAAACAATATAGAGTAGGAAGAAAAAGAAAAAAGGATCAAGTCATCAATAAAGCATGGAACAATGCAGTTGAAGAAAATTATGTAGGTGTTGGAACAAATATTTGGTTGAAGTACTTGGAGCTGAAAAATACAATATATGTCTATACACCTATCTAAAAACTAAATAATGATTTTCTTTTATAACCAAAAACTCTTGAGGGTGAGCGACGTACGATTCAAAACTCGAAACTAAGTGGATATAAACCTGTCAAAAACTGAATTGCGAATGATGATTTTCCCTTGGGATTTTTATATAAATAGCCGGTCAAATTTACGATTTCTTCTCCAACCAGTATATATAAATTATACAATGATTATATACGATTATACATATATTATATATGAATTATACATATATTGTATCTCCGCCGATTATTTTAAGTTTAAGTAGTTGAGCAGACGACTAAAGGGCAGCCCGACTATGCGCAGGGTCCGGGGAAGGGATGGACCACAAAGGTCTATTGTACGCAGCCTTACCCTACATTTCTGCAAGAGGCTATTTCCACGGCTTGAACCCATGACTTCCTTATCACATGACAACAACTTTGCCAGTTACGCCTTGAGTAGGCGACTATTTAAGTTAATTCTTCCTTTCCCTTTGAATGTCAGGAATGTGGAGATGTTCATGGACCCACTCCTTCATATTGAGCCCGTTCGATTGGTGAGTAGTAATATTCAGTAGTATGAAAACAAAATTATAAATACATGATTTAAAATTTTGGCTAGTAATAATGTATCTTCTTTCTGTTTTCTTCAATTTACCAGAAAATATCATCCTTCCTTCTGAGAGCAGTTCAAAAGATGAATCCTCCAGATCTTTTCAAGGGAAAGAAGAAACAGGCTATGAGCATCTTGTTTATTATTCTACTATTTGTAGCTCTACTGTACTTGGTCAAGAACTCTAGGAACTTAATGTAATTCACCAACAAAATTGTAGTAACAGAAGCAGCAATTTTTGCTGCCATCTATGAAGATTACCACAGACGAAGCAACGTACATAGACGAAAAACTAGAGATCGTTGAACGGTCATTTTTTTCTATTCAAATTGTAACTGGTCATAGGAGATCATTTCCTCACAGCGACAAATAAAGCAATAAGTACCAGAAAGTTTTATATCAAAGAACAAAGAGAAATATACCCTCCAATGTAGATTGTAGACCTGACATATACATCTTAATTGCAATGTGTTTGAACAAGTTAAGAATCTGTTAATGTTCCTACTAGCCATACATTAAGGATGCCAGGATTTTACAAGAACAGAGGAGCTACTGTACCTAGACCAAGGCCATGGCATAATTACAAAAACATCCTTTTGCCATAAGCTCAGAAGCACATCAATTCAGAATTCTAATTACATACCATGAGTCTAACTATGTTAACAAACTAAAATTACCTAAGAACCAAGATACATCTTCGGAAACATTAGCGTATCATCAAACGACTAAACAGCTATGACCTGAAATACCTGCAATAAAACACAGCGGGAGGTTGTGGATCAAATCAGATGGAAGCCCAATGCAAATACTTATGGGCATCGAAAAGCAACAATTGGAAGATACTCAAGTCAAACATAATCTAGTATAACATATTAAAGAATTATTACTTGAGGCAAAATGATTTTGTCGTCCCCACTAAGAACACTTTATTTTCTCTGGACCATAAAATTTTTCATCTCACAACTAAATAGAAAGAAAGAGTAAAATAGGGCACATGTATCATTAATCATATATTCGAACGAGAAGCAGTTGCGGGGATATCCAAGAGCTGAAATGACTTGAGCATATTCTAGAGAATGTTAATGAACTGTTTGTTTTAACAATGGTAAAACGAAAAGAGCTCTCTTGCATTTGACAAAACCATTTCTTTCAGTTTCCTTCAGAAAGAATACTATACATTTTCTACTAATTACCCCTTTAAATTATTTTTTTAATAGGTAAAGTCTTTTATTAGTATGGTACAGAAACAAGTACAATGCAGAACAACAGTACTCTCACTACTTATACTACATGTTTCCCCCTAAAAGATACACAATTATCCATTTAAATTGAATGAACTGCTCTGTTAACTTTCCCTCCTATCTTTTAAGCTTCTTGCAAAAGAATTGTAAATTTTAACTATTACATAGCTAATTGCAAATTGCCATAAACAAATCAGTGTAAATATCAAAGAATCGAGTTATTTTATTTATTTTATAATTCTTTCTTGACATGATACAATCTCCCTCGAGGACAAAATGGTAAACTAGCCTTTTGCTTATGAAGGGTCGACGTGGCATACTTTACCTACCATAGTAATGTAGACGTATAGTCATTGCTAAACAAAATGACGACGTGCCAGCATCTGAGGTATTTCCAAAGCAGAAATGCTTTCACATTCTAGGAGTTCCTGAAGCTTTGCATCGCACACAATCACCATAGAATTCACAGGATCCTGTGAAATGGAAAAGCAGAAATATGTAACAAAGATTCAGATATATGGGACGACGTTGCATAGAGATATTAAACACTTGTAGTAGTGAGGAATTACAGAGGGAAAGGAGGTAGAAACCAGAAAGTAACTGAGAGGAGATAACCAAAATAAAACAAGTTGATTATAGAGATACATCTACCTCAAGTTGGTTAAGCTTTATATACTCCCAAATACGTTTGAAGGCCTCTGTTTGGGGTATCTCCTTTTCTTCACTTCCAAAAAATTTGGCAAGCGCATCAGATATCGCAACAGTGGAAGAGTCAGGCTGTTTAACCTTAGCAGCCGTGGAATGAACTTCAACCTTAGCAGCGACAGAATGAGCTTCAACCTTAGCAGCCATGGGATCAGCTTCAACCTTCAATCTTTTAGCTTGATCGGCTTGCTCAGCTTCTGCAGGGGTTGAACAGCAGAACATCTTAAATAAAATAGCTATAAACCCTTCAAACTATAGGAAGCTATTTGTCGATTTTTCCCTTTTGTCTTTTCCTATATACTTTTAGGAAGTGGGAAAATAAAAGATATGTTATAAGCAGATATCATTTTTTATTTCACATACTTGAAGGATCTAATGCCGTAATATGTTTGGCCAGCAGCTTATTCATCTTGAACATATCGGTACAGTCTGTTTCAAAGAGTGCTCGCAGAGCATCATTGCAGATAATCTTTCGTTTGTTACCAGGATCCTGTAAGTTGTGTTTTCTGATGTACACCCACAGCTGTTTCACAATCTGATCGAGCAAAGAAAGATGTATTTATGATCTATATAATAACAACCAACCAAAATCCGGAGCTTCTATTGATTTGAAAATCAAACCTCTGTCCTGGGCATTGCCGGTTGACCAACAATGGCCTGAAGTTCAGGTGAAACACCACAGACTTTGTTTAGACCACCTGGTCCACCTCTCCTTTTCGTTCCAGAAGTAGCACTGGACAAAAGAGAAACAGGATCAAATACTACTGTATTGTTAACGGTACACATAACGATACCACCTCTCCTTTTGAGTTGATAACGGTTAACCACATAAACAAGTGGCTAACTCGTACACATAGCGGAATATGTTTATTAACCGAATCAGATATCATTTATTATTGAGTTCCGGACATTGATTAGGAAACAGAAGTCATCTAAAAGTGCAGAACACTTAAGTTCCTGGTATAACGTACGGGCATTCCTCGTCAAAGTTGATGTAAGACAGTTTCAATTTAGAATTTCCCAATATGGTTTATGCTATAGCAAAAGAACATTTCAGACACAAATAAAAAAGAACTCCCCAAATTGGAAATTCGCTTTGGAAAAAGAAAAAGGTGAAAACAGTATAAAATGGTTTCAACTACCAACTTAAGAAAGGTAAATGTGACCATTAGAACATAGAATTATCTCTTAATTTTTTACCCACTTTACCTTTCTACTTTTACTTGTGCCAAAGTATAGTTTAGTCCAAACAACAACAACACCAACAACAACGAAATTTTATATAATCTTGCAAATTGTAACAAGATCCTGACTTGGCCAGGTAACAGCATATAGGTGTTCCTAGCTTCAAATTTGCAACTAACTTTGCAGACATAAACATAGGAAATGATAAATTAAAGTAATCAAATAAATAAGAGCCAATATTATCACAAGCAGCTAGCAAATTAATTTAAGAAAAAATATAAAAAGCAAAGCAAAACATAACAACAGATAGTATATAAATTGCAAATCCCAGTTAGACACTAGCTATATGAGCTGCATTAACTAAACCTTTATACATAATAGTGAACAAAAAAAAACATTTTTATAGCATATTTTCAGATCTCTGATTATTATCATTGACATAGGAATTACTATGTGACTTACTATAATACCAAAAAAGTACATCTTATTAAATAAATAAATAAACAAAANAAAAAAACTCTTATGCATGTCTACCAAATAGTGGAGTAGTAAATTAATGTTTCAGCAAAACCATGTCTTCCATGCATATTTATCTTAATCGTAAAACGGAAATAAACAAAGAGACAAAATTAAATTAAGAAAGGAAAAGACAAACTTATCCTCGTCCAAATTATCTACAGCATACCTTTCCTTGGGGGCAGAAGCGGCATTTGACGCCACATGCTGAGCAGAACCCGCAGCTGTTCTCGCAACCACCGGCGACGGAGCTTGTTGCTGCACTTGCGGCTGCAGAGGTGGTTGCCGGTATTGGTGCTGCTGCTGCTGCTGCTGAAAGTAAAGGTATTGTTGCTGCTGCTGATGTTGTTGTTGAAGGGCCAAATGGGAATAAAATTGCTGTTGCGCAGCAAACTGTGGGTGGTTCAAGAGGGCAAAATGGTCTTTAATCATCGCCGGATGTTGTACCGGCTGCTGCACCTGTGATCGGAGAAGACTGATCTGATCATTGATAAACTCCGCCTTGTGTGAAAGGTCCTGTCCAAGTTTTGCTCCGAGCTGCTGTACGACGCCGTTTAACGACGTAACGGCGTTAGGGTCCGACTGACGGAGCAAAATCTCAACACCTCTCGCTATTTCCTGGTCCGACACCATGGTTTTGCTTTCATATAGTAACGGCAAAATTAACGGAACCGTTTTTTTCTTTTTCTCTCTCCCACACTCTCTGTTACTCTCTGCGTCTCTGTTTTTCTTCTTCTTTCTCTCTTTCTCTCTCTTCAAGCTTCCTTTTTTTGCCTCTCTCTCTATCTCTATCTATATAAGCATTTAATGACGGATATACCCTTGGCTTAGTTTAAAAGTTATGTTCATTACCTTTTTGCATTTTGTTTTTTAATTTATTTTAGTTTTTCTATCAAGTGTTAGTATTAATCCCGGAAAAAAAGAAAAATCAAGTGTTAGTATTATTTGCTTTCAAGCTTGATTAATTTATATTTATGCCAAAAAGCTTTTTAGGATAAAGTGTTTCCCAAAAATGACAATCTCAATCACAAACATATATATATATATATATATATATATATATATTAAATATCATGATTTTTAATACATGAATAAGGATATAAAAAGATAAAATTATACTTTCAAAATCTTTTTCAAATTCTTTTCCAAACCGTCGGAGGATATTTTTATAATAAATAATTTTAAAAAAATGATGAACGCATGTTATTTTTACACCAAATCAAACAATCAATAAAAATAGTAATACAATATAATTAAATCTAATATTAATAACTATAACATTATTAATACATTTTATTCAGTATTATTCTTATACGCCCAACCAAACGACTTTGTGTTCTTTAACGGATAGCATCAAGAAGAAGCAAGGGTATAAATGCAATTATCATAAGTAGGGACCCTTGATATTAAAATATTGGAAAAATAAGGATTTTTGAAAGGATAAAGATAAAGTGGTGGGGCCAAAAGAGGTTGGGCTGAAATTTGAACTGTCTTGTCTTTCCCAACATATTTTGAATTATCTTTTATTCATTTTTTATTGCATTTACTTAAATACCCCATGAAACTATGTGCTCTAACATGGAAAAGTAAGGTTATTTTAGGGAAAGAAGAGTGTTTGCGTGTC